GCGAGTGGTGGACCGGACCTGGGTTGAAAGGAAACAGTTACAGGTGGGTTGGGTTGTCAGCGTCGGGTATTGGATTGGGCTTGCGGGTCTCGAGTCGGTTGGGTTTTTGGTCTCGGGTCACAGATGATGGGTTAGGCCGTAATTGGGCTTTCTAGTTTGGTCTGAGGCGTCTAGGTCGTGGGGGGTGTCGTCGGCCGAGGTTTGGACTGAAATGGGTTGGACTTAGTTTGGGTCGCGGGGTCCGAATCTCGAGTCGAACTTCGTCTTCTTCGTCCGGTTATTTAAAATATTTTGGCAATCTCTCTCTCTCCACGGTAACGCCATTTTCAATATCCATTTTCCTCCTTTTCCTTTGGTTCCTAAGTCCCATCTTCCCTCTAAATCCATCTATGTGTTATTTTGGCTCGACAAGGTCTGAGACTTCCAGATTTGAGAGACTTCGAAAACCCAATATTCTGTCTTCCTTTCTCGATGGTGTACGACGTGTAAGCAATGTCGAAATCTATCTCTGGTGTGTAAAGGTCTCTGGAATTGTTTTCATGGGGTAGATCAAAGGTTTCAAAGTTGATTTCGTATGGTTTGGCTTCAACGGAGCGTCGTCAGTTTCTTCCTCAAACTCTACGTTTTTTTGTTTTCTTCCTTGCATGTGGTTTGACTAAGGATTGGGGTCTATTATTGTGGTGACCCCCGAAGTTTTGCAAGGCTCGTGGGTCTCGTCGACGACTCCGGATTTTTTTTTTTTTATCTGATCCATTACATTATCTACCCCTACAAAGAACTTTCGTCCTTGAAAGTATCAATCTCCTGGATCAATTCAAAGTATTTTTCTTTTATTTCCTCTTCTCGTTCCCACGTCACTTCCTCGGTTTGGTGATTTCTCCACAATATTTTGACGAAACCTATGTTTCAATTACGTAAGGCTTTCACTTCCTAAGCTAAGATTTTAATCAGGTTCTCCTAATAACTTAAGCTTTCCTCGATCTCGAGGGGTCAGTAGTCTATCGCGTGCGTAGGGTCTGCAATATATTTCCTCAACATGGACACATGGACACATGGAACACATCGTGTACGCTTAAGAGTAAAGGTGGTAAGGCTAGTTTGTATGCTACTGAACCTATTCTTTCTAGGATTTTGAAAGGTTCGATAAAGCGGGGGCTTAGCTTTCCCTTACATCCGATTCTTAGAACGCCTTTCATAGGAGCTACTTTTAAGAACATTGGGTCCCCCTCTTCGAACTATAAGTTCCTACACCTAACGTCGGCGTAGCTCTTTTAACTACTTTGTATGGTGCGCATCCTTGGTCTAATTTTCTGTACTATCTCGTTGGTGATGCAGACCAACTCGGGTCGTATCAGTTCTCGTCTCCTACTTCGTCCCAGCACAATGGGACCTACACCGTTTTCCATATAACGCTTCAAATGGTGTCATCCCGATTGTTACTTGAAAACTACTGTTGTATGAGAATTTCATCAAGTGTAGTTTAGTGTCCCAACTCCCCATGAAATCCATAACACATTCCCGAAGCATGTCTTCTAGGATTTGGTTTAATCGTTCCGTTTGACCATCAGTTTGTGGGTGGAAGGTAGTACTAAAGTCGAGGTGGGTACCCAACGCTTTTTGAAGTTTGCGCCAAAAGGCTGACCTAAAATGTGGGTCTCGATCCTACACTATTAATACCGGGACTCCATGCAACCTCACAATTTTTCACGTACAGTTGAGACCAAATGTCTATTGTATATGTTACCTTACCCGGTAGGAAGTGTGCCAACTTTGTCAGTCGATTGACAACTACCCAAATTACCATGTAACTCTTTAGTGTCTTGGGTAAGCCTACTATGAAATTCATAGAAATATTTTCTCATTTCCATTCCGGTATACTTAGAGGTTGTAGTAGTTCGGTGGTTTTCTGCCTAGGGGCTTTTACAGTTGGCACACCAGACATTTACTCACGTATTCCGCCACTAGAAGTGCTGTTTCAGGTCCTGATACCTCTTTGTACCACCTGGATTTATCGAGAAGAGTGAGTTGTGTGCTTCAGTTAGGATTTCGTTCTTTATTTTGCTCACAACTGGGACACATAAACATCTTTGACATAGTAGTCCATCATCTGTCGACTTAGAAAAACCAACCATTGGGCCTACTGTCAACTGGTCTAGGATTTTGTTTAGGCTAGGGTCCTCACGTTGTGAGTCTACGATCCTCTAAGGGTGGGGCGCACTATCAATCGGGCTATTTGGGCTATAACCTCCTTGGTTACTACTGCTATGTCAGCTCGTTCGAAATCAACTCGCACTCGTGGCTCCCTTGTGATGAGGGCCGACAAGTGTACTGTTTTTCGACTTAGTGCGCCAACGACTACGTTTACTTTTCTAGGGCGGTACTGGATATCTATGTTTGTAATCTTTTACCAGCTCTAGCCATCTACGTTGTCTTATGTTCAATTCTTTTTGAGTGAACAAGTATTTTAGACTTTTATGGTCAATGTTAATTAGGTGAGAAGCGAGGTTATTCTAGAAAAGTCTTGGACAAACCTTCGATAGTAACCAACCAATCCTAAGAAACTTCGTATCACGGTAACCGTAGTTGGCCGTTTCCATTTCGTGATAGCTTCTATCTTGGTGGGATCTACTAAAATTCCGTCTTTAGACACTACGTGTTCCAAGAATGAAACCTGTTGTAGCCAAAATTCTCATTTGGAGAATTTGACATACAACTTGATCTCCCTTAGAATAGTTAGGGCTTTTCGGAGATGTTCTTGGTGTTCTTCGTCCGTTTTTGAGTATATATGGATGTCGTCTATGAATACGATCACAAACGTGTCTAAGCACTTCTTGAATACTTGGTTCATTAATTCCATGAACACCGCTTCTTGAATTCTTGGTTCATTAATTCCATAAACACCGCTGGGGCATTGGTGAGGCCAACGGCTATTTTCGGTATATCTTCGTTTTTAATCTTAATTTGACGGTATCCTGATGGAAGGTCTATTTTGGAAAACATTGTTGCCTCTCGAAGTTTGTTAAATAGGTCCTCGATGCGGGGTAATAGATATTTGTTCTTTACCATCCTCTTGTTTAATTCTCTATAGTCAATGCATAGACGCATAGAGCCATCTTTCTTTTTAACAAACAACATTGGCGCACCTCAAGGAGATACACTAGGTCGAATGAAGTCTTTATCTAATAGGTCTTGTAGTTGTGATTTAAGTTCTTTTAGTTCTGCTGGGGCCATGCGGTATGGGGCTTTAGAGATGGGTCTCGTTCCTGGCTCAAGTACTATTCCAAAATCTACTACTCACGATGGAGGGATTCTCGGAAGGTCCTCCAGGAAGACATCTGGGAATTCGTTTAGTATGGTTACCGAATCTATTGCTCTTTTCCTGTTGTGTTCACCGCACAGGCTAGAATCACTCACCCCCCTGTTATACCAGGCGTATGGCTTTCATCATCGATATTATTTTTGGGGTGGTGCTTGTGAAGGTTCCTTTAAACTTAAAACTACGTCCGTTTAATGGTTAAATACTACCTCTTTCTTATGGCAGTCTATGCTAGCAAAGTTTTCGGCTAGCCAGTCCATTCCTAGTATGACATCAAAATTCATCATATCTACTACTTTTAGGTCTACTTGGATGGTTCGTCCAGCTATTACCACTTGTTTGTCTTTTATTCTATTTTCAGTAACCAGGTCTACTCCTGCTGGGGTACCGGCCGACAATACATGCATCAAGGGTTCTACTACGGACCCTGCTTGACTAAGAAATGACAAAGAAATAAATGAATGGGTAGAACCCGAATCAAACAACATCAATGCAAAGTGTCCTAGTATAGAAAGCGTACCTGTCACCACGGTGCTAGACTTTCCCGTCTCTTTACTGGTCGTTGCATACCCCCTGGTCTGTGCACGGGTTTGCGTGGTCGGTACTCGAATAATCACTCCTCTAAGGGGTCCCCTTGGGTTTTTCTCGTTCGTTCCAATACAAATTGGGTCGTGTGATCTGCACGACCGCACTTGTAATATACCCTCGAGCCTACCATACATCTGCCCCAATGTTGTTTCCCACATTTGCGACACAGAGGTTTTTTTGATACTAGGTATCGAGGTACTGGGGCGGAGCAGGTCGTCTGTCCTGATGTCGAGGTCTCTGGAGTGGCGGTTGGAATTTCGTGGGTTCGGCCTCAACGGGACGTTTCTTTTCTTTGAATGTCGTTGGCTCCGAGTTTTTCTCCTTTGGAGCTTACTTTAGGGCCTTGGACGTCCTCAGATCCTCTTCGTAAGTTTTTGGGTTAAATGCCTCCAACATGCGGGTCTTCGAATTCAACTCTAACACAAACTTCTCTGTCTGTTTTTCTTTAGTGTGTGCTAGTGACGGTACGAACCTCTTTAATCTCATGAATTCTTGATCATACTGATCCATAGTGTGTACTCCCTGGGTTAGGTGGTTAATTTCTTGTTGTTCTTTTATATGGGCATCCCTTGGATGGTAGTATTTTAGGAAGGCTTCCTTAAAGGTTTCTCACGTTGTGATCCCCTCTCCCGGGTTGATATTCTGTTTGTTATCTGTCCACCACACTTCTGCATCCTTTTGTTGTACATATGTCGTGCACGCTACTTTGTGGTCATTAGGGCACCTCGTTGATTCAAAGGTCGTTTCCATGGTTGCGATCTACATCTGAGCTACTGTGGGATCTTCATTTTAACCGACGAACGGACGGGGGTCATACTGTCTAAAGATTTTTAACCAATTCTCCCCCCTGTCTAGTTGTGGATTTTTGGCTAGTTGTGTAGCCGTCACATTAGCTGGTTGTGTGGCCGTTGCATTGGCTGGTTGTGTGGCCATTGCTGCAGCTTGTTGCGTGGCCATTGCTGCGGCTTGTTGCGTAGCTAACAATGTGGCCTATTTTGTTGCCAACATTGTTTGCATCGTAATCTGGAGAAACTCTAAAACTATTCGTGTGGCGGGATCCAATCTAGCCCGTGGTGCAGCTTGAGGGGGCAGTGTGTGATATGAACCACAACCAAGAAATTTCCATACCTCAAGGTCCAATTACAAGGACGAGAGTCAAAAAGCTACAACAAACCTTGTACACTTATATTCAAGCTATGGTGAGCAGATCAAAGGAAATTCTAAAAGATGCTGGAGACCTTACTTATATGTTGTTGTGCAAAGTTGAGCTCCAAGAAAGAGATGCATTAAATGCACTCTAAGTGGCATTTAATGAACTCGAGCAAAAGTTATAAAAAAGGATGACTAATAAGCCCATTTCATTATTGCACTATTTAATTATAATTTAAATATTTGTTTGTCATAAGCTAGTTTTTAATATAGAAGTTAAGGTTATATTGTAAGCCACAGGTTACCCTATTCCACCATTCACTAGCCATTTTAATAGAAAGGTTATGGATATTTCTCATTAAGCCAATTTAATTTGGGAGTTGTGTGTCCGTTGTAAAGCTTATATAAAGCTTCTTTTTTTTTATTATCATCACATTTGGAATTAAAAAGAATAGAATTTCTATTTTTTTTTAGCTTTGGTGAGAGCTAAGATTTTCAAATTTTTGTGTTTAGAACTTACATGAGTCATTCAAGTGGTATTGATCAAACCTCTTGTGGAGTGATTCGAATCACGAGTTTAGAAACGAGTTTTCTTTACTCTTGACCTTGATCATCAAGGTAATTCGTTCCATACTTTCCCTTAGGTTGATTCCACATCATTTGGAATCAGAGCTTTAGGCTCAAGATCGGATATATGTTTCCTTGGGTTTATCTCTTTGATTCTCATCTATATATATATTTTCAGTATGTGTAGCATGTTCACATTCTATCTTAAAAACATATAGCAAAAAAAAAAAAAAAAAAAAAGAACATTATTTCTGTGTTTTAGTTCATCTGTATCTTATCAACACTTTGTTTTTCGTAAAGATTTTCTAAATCAATTTTCTTGTTGGTAAATTGATTAGATTTTGCCAATTAGTAACGAAAGAATTAAAAAAAAAAGCTTATTGATGTTAAATGTATTCTTTTATCCTCTTGATTATTATATGTAACTCTCATATGTTACTACGTCTAAATTAGTCCTTAATCATTTTCTTTCTTTAATTCGTTTCTTTGTCAATATTCGGATTGCTCCTTTAATACCCTTGTTTATGTGTTGAGTGTGCTGTCTATTCACTTTGAATTGCACTTAGCTCTATAACATAGCTTGTCTCACATCCCAATTTTTTTGGAGTGTGATTGGTGTGTACTCAATTATGAGGGTGAGTTTGTAAGGGAGTGATACATTGATNTTATAAAGTGTTAATCTCGATCTTATCAACACTTTGTTCTTCTTTAAGATCTTCTAAATCAATTTTGTTGTTGCTAAATTGATTAGATTTTGCCAATTAGTAACGAAAGAAAAAAAAGAAAAAAAAAATCTTATTGATGTTAAATGTCTTCTTTTTTTTCATCTGAATTATTAAATGTAACTCTCATGGGTTACTACGTCTAAATTAGTTCTTATTCATTTTCTTTCTTTAATTCGTTTCTTTGTTGTTATTCGAATTGCTCCTTTAATACTCTTGTTTATGTGTTGAGTGTGTTGTCTATTCACTTTGAATTGCACTTAGCTCTATAACATAGCTTGTCTCACATCCGAATTTTTTTGGAGTGTGATTTGTGTGTGCTCAATTGTGAGGGTGAGTTTGTGAGGGAGTGATACATTGATTCGAGTGTTAAGTGCTAAACATGAGTGAACACACGTGAGGGAGCGCTTGTGAGGTCCTTTTTCTTTTCGTTTTAACTTTCTTTTGTAGCATGAAAAATCCAGACGACAATCCTAACATTATTGATGCACGATTGAGAGAAGCACAACAACGAAGCATGGAAAGACTAATTCGAGGAATAGAAGAGTTGACAGATCGAATAGGAAGATTGGAGACTCAAAATCAAGCTCGACAGAGGATTCCACTACATGTGCCCTCAACCAATCAATATGAGGGCAAAAATTCTGATCAACACGAGGATAATCCACATGCGGTTGGTGGTGGCTTGATGCGAGGGAGAGACCATGGAAGAAGGTATCATAATTTACAACAACACGTTCCTTATGATGATATAATTGATCGTAACGTGGGGAGCATCAAATTAAAACTTCCCAAGTTTTATGACAAAAACGATCTAGAGGAGTACCTTCAATGGGAGAAAACGGTGGAGTCGGTGTTCAACTGTCATAATTTTAGTGATGAAAAGAAGGTACTATTATGCATTGTTCAATTCAAACAATATGCTCAAATTTGGTGAGATAAATTGAAGTCAAGTAGGAGAAGAAACCTTGAAGCACCAATTGATTCATGGTACGAGTTCAAAGAGTCCATGAGAAAGTGTATTGTTCCACAATATTTTCAACGGGACATGGCGCAAAAGCTTCAAGCATTGAAACAAGAACGCAAATCTATGGAGGATTATTACAAGGAGATGGATACATTGATGGATTGACTTGATCTCGATGAGGACATGGAGGATCTCATGGCGCGGTTTCTTAATGGGTTAAACACAGAGATTGCAGACAAGACTGATTATTGCCCTATTCTGATATTGAGGAGTTGTTGCACATTGCAATTAAGATGGAGAGGCAAATCCAACAAAGGTCTAACGGTATTCTTCTAAAACTTTTACCAATTCTACTTCTACTGGAAAAAGGATAGTAAGAACATTGATTATAAGCATAGAAATCAGGAGATTAATGAGAAGCCTCAAGCTAAATTTGAGAAAGGTGAGAGTTCTCGAATAGGGAAAGAAAAAGTAGAAAAGTCTAATGTTCGAAATAGGGATTTAAAGTGTTGGAGATGTCAAGGGGTAGAAAACTATAGTAGAGATTGCCCAAATGCAAGAATTATGACCATCAAGAAGGGAGAAATTGTTACGGATGAAGAGGTACATGACGACATAAATGAGGAAACTGATGAGAGTGAGGAGTTTAGTGAAGAGGATCCTACACATATATCTTTGGTTACTCGGCGAGCTCTAAACACCCACATGAAGGAGGATGGCCTAGACCAACGAGAGAACTTATTTCAAACTCAGTGTCTTGTTCAATCTGTACCTTGTAGTGTTGTCATTGATAGCGGTAGTTGCACTAATGTTGTGAGTTCATTCTGGTCAAAATAATTAATTTAAAGACAACCACATCCAAGACCCTACAAGCTTCAATGGTTGAATAATTGTGGGGAAGTACGGATAACTCAACAAGCTCTTGTTTCTTTTACTATTGGAAAATATGTTGATGATGTTTTATGTGATGTTGTATGCATGCATGTTGGAAATTTACTACTTGGGAGGCCTTGGCAATTTGATTGTCGGGTAATGTATGATGGGTATGCAAATCGATACTCTTTTACTCACAATGGTAGAAAAACTACTCTTGTTCCGTTGTCTCTAAAAGATGTATTTATTGATCATTGCAAACTTGAAAAGAAAAGGCAAGAGGCTGATGCAAAAGCAGAGATTGAAAAAGAATCAAGTGATAAAAAGAGCTTGAGTGAAAGCAAGAGAGTAGCACTTAGCCTAGAGAAAAAAAAAAGAGAGAAAATCCAAATGAGTAAGCTTGTATGTTAGATCAAGTGAGGCTAGGAATGTTTTGCTCTCTGACCCAACTATTTTTGTACTTATGTACAAGGGGTCTTGTTACTTTACTAACATGCTTAACCCTTCTTTGCCTAGTGATATTGTTGTGCTTTTGCAAGAGTTTGAAGATTTATTTTCCGAGGAGATGCCTAGTAGTTTGGCACCACTTAGAGGAATTGAACACAAGATTGACTTAATTCCTAGCGCGCCCCCAAACCCACCAGCATATATGACTAATCCAAAGGAGGCTGAAGAGATACAAAGGCAAGTAAGTGAACTCCTTACTAAAGGGTAAGTATGTGAAAGTTTGAGTCCTTGTTTTGTTCCAATTATTCTTGTACCTAAGAAAGATGGTTCTAGGCGTATGTGTGTTGATTGTAGGGCTATAAACAACATAACTATAAAGTATAGGCATCAAATTCCTAGATTAGATGATATGCTTGATGAATTGCATGGATGTAGTCTTTTTACTAAGATTGATTTAAAATCGGGTTATCATCAAATTCGCATGCATATTGGGGATGAGTGGAAAACAACTTTTAAAACCAAGTATGGTCTTTATGAATGGTTGGTTATGCCTTTTGGATTAACTAATGTACCTAGTACATTCATGAGACTAATGAACCATGTTTTACGAGAATACTTAGGTAAGTTTGTGGTTGTTTATTTTGATGACATCCTTGTTTACTCTAAATCTTTAGATGATCATATTACCCATGTATGTAATGTTTTGACTACTTTAAGAAACAAATGTTTGTATGTAAATTTAAAGAAATGTAGCTTTTGCATGGAAAAAGTTAACTTTCTTGGGTTTGTAGTTTCATTTAATGGTGTTGAGGTTGATGAGGAGAAAGTGAAAACTATAAAAGATTGGCCTACACAAGTGTAAGTGAGGTAAGAAGTTTTCATGCTCTTGCAAGTTTCTACCGTAGGTTCATTAAGAATTTTAGTACAATTGCTTCACCCTTGAATGAACTTGTTAAGAAAAATGTATCCTTTATATGGGAAAAAGATCAAGAATTTGCTTTTAATACTTTGAAAGAAAAATTGAGTTCTACTCCCTTGCTTGCAATACCGAATTTTGAAATTAAATGTGATGCTAGTGGAGTAGGGATAGGTGCTGTATTAATGCAAAATCAAAGACCTTTAATGTTCTTTAATGAGAAGTTGACTAGTGCATCTTTGAGGTATCCAACTTATGACAAAGAGCTTTATGCTTTAGTTCATGCATTGCAAACCTGACAACATTATCTTTGGCTTAAGGAGTTCGTTATTCATACGAATCATGAAAGTTTAAAGCATTTGAGAGTACAAAATAAACTCAACAAACAACATGCTAAGTGGTTAGAATTTATTGAAACATTCCCTTATGTCATAAAATATAAACAAGGTAAGGAGAACATTGTTGCAGATGCTTTATCACGAAGGTATGTCCTCCTCAATACTTTGAATGCAAAGTTGTTGGGTTTTGAACACAAAGAATTTGTATCAACATGACATGTTCTTTGCTCCTTTTGTTGAATCTTGTGAAAAAGGACTCGTAGTGGATAATTACTTGTTGTTAGATGAATTTTTGTTTCGAAAAGGCAAATTTTGCATACATCTTGTTCCATACGTGAGCTACTTGTGAAGGAAGCTCATCGGGTGGTTTAATAGCACACCATGGAGTTTCTAAAACTTATGATATGCTCTCTGAACATTTTTTTTTGGCCTAAAATAAGACATGATGTTAATAAAGTTTGTGTTCGTTGCATAGCATGTAAACAAGCTAAGTGTAGGCTTCAACCACATGGTTCAACAACTTTTGGCGTGTTTTATGGGGTAAGTTAGGAACTAAGCTAATATATTCTACTACTTGTCATCCTCAAACGGATGGACAAACTAAAGTTGTTAACTGAACCATGATTACTATGCGTAGGGCTATTATTGATAAGAATCTTAAGATTTGGGAGGATTGTTTGTCATTTATACAATTTGCATATAATAGGGTTGTTCATAACACTACAAAATGCACACATTTTGAAATTGTTTATGGCTTTAATCCTTTAACCCCCATTGACTTGTTATCTATGCCGTCAAAAGAGTTTGTGAACTTTGATGCAAATGCCAAGGTTGAGTTTGTTCATAATAAACTACACAAGCAAGTAAAAGAACAAGGAATTTACATACCTCAAGGTCCAATTACAAGGACGAGAGCCAAAAAGCTACAACAAACTTTGTCCACTTATATTCAAACTATGGTCAGCTCATCAAAGAAAATTCTAGAAGACATTGGAAACCTCCATTATATGTTGTGCAAAGTTGTGCTTCAAAAAAGAGATGCATTAAATGCACTTTAAGTTGCATTTAATGAACTCAACTAAAATTTATGGAACTAGTCCAAGGATGACAAATAAGCATATCTCATTCATTGCACTATTTAATTATAATTTAATATTTGTTTGTTTTTAATACAGGAGTGAAGGTTATATTATAACCTACATAGGTTAACATATTCCACCATTAACGAGTCATTTTAATAGGGAGGTTATGGGTATTTCTCATTCACTAGCAAATTTAATTTGGAAGTTATGTGTCGGGTAGGTTAAGGTTGTAAAGGCTGTATAAAGTCTTCTTTCCTTTGTTTATGGATATCACATTTTTTAAAAGGAATAGAATTTATATTTCTTTTTTTTTTTTTTTAGCTTTGTTGAGAGATAAGATCTTCTTTGCAAATTCTTATGTTTAGAACTTGCATGGCTAGAGTTATTCAAGTGGTAGTGATCAAATCTCTTGTGGAGTGATTCGAATCACGAGTTTAGAAACGAGTTTTCTTTACTCTTGATCTTGATCATCAAGGTAATCCGTTTCATACTTTTCCTTGGGTTGATTTCATATCACTGGGTTGGAAGAATTGACAATTAGTCACATCCTCTATAGTACATTTTGAGGCATTTTAACCCTAGCGGGTGTAGACATGATTTTGGTGACCGGTCATACATCTCTGTATTGGCACGACAATAATAGTAAAGACTTATCAAATATGAAAGCAGGTAAATGGAATTTGGAATGAACATGCGGCAATAGACAACACGTCTTGGACAATCATGACCTGGACATCGAACATGCAGTCATAGGCAAACACACCATGGATGAGGACATCGGACTCTTCACAAACTCAGCGATGTAGGATGAGGCCGACTCCAGGTGTCTCGACGCGCTTCCAACTAATCTCAATATTAAAAAGTCTCTTCCAATCTGCTAGGAACCGTTCAAAACCACTTCTCGGTTCGTTGGATCTTCGCATCTTCTCTATAAAAGTATATCCTACTTTCTTTGCTAAGGTATTCTTCTCCTTTGCGTGAGGTCTTGCCAATTTTAAAATAATTTTTAGTAATTATTAACTAGAATAAGTTTAGTTTAGGAGAATAGTTAGTTGTGGCTAACTTGTGGAGAAAGTTTAGGCAATTTATTGGTGTTTTCTGCACTATAAATACTCATAATAATATGTATGCTCTACTTACAACACCAAAGAGAATTGAAAAGCAGAAGTTCTTAACGTTATTCTGTTCCAAGAAACTCTCCCCTCAAATTGATAGTGAACAACTTGGCTAGTTCATAGTTGATAAGGAAACCCTAATCCTCAGCCCAATGATTCAAGCTTTTGAGAAGGGAGAACCCTTGAATCAAATAAATTAACATTTCCTCCTACAAAATTTTGATCAACCAAGAGATAAAGTTAGAATTAGATTAGATAAAGCTCGAATTAGATTACCTCTTGATCAAAGATTTAGAACCTTGTTCTAAATTGAGTCACTCCACAATCAAACTTGATCAAGTTTTGATTGAATGACTCACATGCAATCTATCACAAGAATTGATGCATGTATCACAAGAATTGCTTGAAACTTAGAAATAACAAAATGATGCTTTAAAATCTAAGGGTGAAAGTCTCTTCACATCTCAATTTCATTCATTAAAAAATTTGTTTTATGCATCGTACTTTGGGGGCATTTATAGTCTCTCCACATAACGAACTTTCAACTCTTCAAATGTCCTAGTGGCCATAATTGACTCCCACCACCAGCTTTAAATCTCAAAAAAAAAAAAAAAAAAAAAAAAAAAAAAAAAAAAAAAAAAAAAAAAAAAAAAAAAAAAAAAAAAAA